TTACTACCTCCCCTGACCCTCCCACTCCATTCCAATTAATATGTCTCAACTATTCCAAGTAATATTGATATTAAAGTTTATGTCACTGAAGTCATTATTAATAGGTCTATTATTATGTATGTTAATATTTTACAGATAGAATGAATTCATTGACTTTCTAAGGTATTCTGGGCTTATAATTGATACTGGGTTGTCCAGTTGATGTGTTCTTTATATATTACCCTTTTATTTCAAACTATCCCCCATTCCTATTCTTCTCACCCCCTTCTCACTCTTTATTTCCTTCTACCCTCCACTCACTTTGTATACTCTTCTTCATCCTTCTCCATCCCAAGTAGTAAATGTTAAGTGTTTCAAGTAATAGTAGAAGTACACTAAAGATTGTTGTTACTGGAGCCATTGTTAATTAATGGTTTTATGTTATGTTTGCAGTTGGAATATGTTAGTTGATCTTCTGGAGTGTTCTTAGTAGTCACTGATACTAGGTTTGATGATTGATGTGTTCTAAACATCACCTTCATCCTAAACGTACTCCACTTGCACCCTTCTCTTCACTCTACCAATTCCCTATCTTCTCCCCTACTCTGCCCATCTTTCCATTGTCCCATCCTCCCATTCCAACAAATAAATTTCAATTATTCCCAAAATATTGACATTAAAGATGTTTGTGATGTCACGAGTTGTTATTGATTTTATGTTAATATTTTGCAAAAAAAAAAAAAAGTTGATTCCCTGGGTACTCTGGGCATATAATTGATAGAGTTGAGTGATTGAGGCATTCTTTTTAATGACATCCTTATCTTCCCTTCTTCACCTCCCTGTCCTCTCTTGGTTATTCATCTCTACATTGCCCACCCTTTTATTAATAAATCTCAAGTATTACAAGTCCTGCTGAGCTTAAAAAACTATGTCCCTAGAGTCACTTTTAACTGGTAACTTTATGGTATCCTTTTGTAGATGGAAGATATTAGTTGATTTCCTGGAGTGTTCTCAAGATAATCATTGACACTGGGCTTATGATTAGTGTGTTCTTTAAACACAACCCTCATCCCAAACTCACCCTATTCCCATCTTCCTACCCTTTCTTCTCATCACTCTTCCTTCCCTACCATCCTATGCCTACCCTTTATTACTAGTTCTCACCCATTCTTCATTCTTCTCTCTCTCCCCTATCCCTTTCCAGCTTTCTACCCTTTTTTCATAGTCCCCCACCAACTTTTCTTCCCACTCTCCCCTCTTACCTCCATTCCCTACTACCCCTACCTAACTCCTTCCTAGTCACCAACCAAGTCTTCATCCACTACCCTCCTCATCCTCCTCCCTTCCCTATTACTCCTTTACCTTTTCTTCCTAGTCCCCATCCCAGTCCCCATCTCTGTTCTCATCCCCTTTCTGTTCTTCCTCTCCTCACCCCTCTTCCTATTCCCCAATCCCCTACACTCTACCTTCTCATTCCCCTCCTTTCTCTACTGCTTTCTCCTCACCCTTTCTTCCTAGAGCCCCTCAAGGACACTTCATTCCTCCCCTCTTCTCTTGCCCCACCTTTCTCTACTACCCCCTTGTCACCTTCTTCCAAGTCCCCTACTCATTCTTCATCCCCCACTCTCTTCTCATGCCTCTCCCTTCCCTACGGCCCCTCCTTTCTAGTCTCCTACCCTCTCCTCTCAGCCCCTTCCTTTCTCTTCACCCTTTCTTCCTAACCCCCCCCCCCCAGGACTCTTTATTCCCTCACCCTCTCTTCTCTTGCCCCACCCTTCACTACTGACCCCTCTTCATGTGTGGCCTCCATCCACTCTTCATGCCCCCTCTCTTCTCATGCCTCTCCCTTCCCTACGGCCCCTCCTTTCTAGTCTCTCACCCTCTCCTCTCTCCTCTCTTTCCTTTCACTGCCCCTCATCTTCCATGTCCCCCACCCACTCCCCATCACTCACCCCTTATTCCTCTTCCTTCTCTACTACCCCTCCCCACCCCTTCTTCCTAGTTCTCCATCCACACTTCACCCCTCCTCCTCTCTTCTCACTCCCTCCTTCCTACTACCCTTCCTCACCTATCCTTCCTAGTCCCCTACCCAGTCAACCCCCCCATCCTCATCCTTCTCTATTCTCCCTCCTTAGTCCCTGCTTAGTCCCCAATGCACTCATCCCCCACTCTCCACTCATCCTTTCCCTACTACCCCTTCCTCACTTTCTTCCTATTCCCTTCCTTCTTAGCTCCCCACCTCCTTCATCCTTACCCTCTATCATCCCCCTCTATTCCTACTACTTCTCCTTATACCATCTTCTAGTCTCCCACCCTCTCTTCATCCCCCACCATCTTATTCCCCTTCCTTCCCTAATACCCTCTTTCTTCCCCCTTTTCACTCCTTCCTAGTCCAGTATCCACTTATCCCTCACATTCTTCCTCTTCATCCCCCTCTCCTCACCTCTTCTTCCTGGTGACCCAGGGACTCTCCATCCCCTCACCCTCTCTTCTCACTTCCTCCTTTCCCTACTACCCTTGCTCACCTATTTTTCCTAGTCCCCTACCCAGTCAACCCTGCCCTCTATTCTCCTCCTTCTGTACTCCTCCTACTCACCCCTGCTTAGTCACCAATCCACTCATCCCTTCCCATCCCTACCCCTCCTCATGTCTTCATAGCCCCCATCCACGCTTTTTCATCCTCCACTCTTTTCATCCCTCTCTACCACCCCCACCTCATTCTTTTAGTTCCCCCATTACTCTTCATCCCTCATCCTCCTCTCAGCTCCTTCCCTTCCTTACTACCCCGCTTATCCTTTCTTCCTAGTCTCCACCCACTCCTCCTAGTTTACCCCCATTCCTCCCTACCTCTCCCTTCCTCTTCTTTCTAGTTCCCTACTTATTCGTCACCCCCATACTCTCATCTCTCCTTTCTCAATTATTCCCTCTTCACCTCTTCTTAGCCCCCCTCCTTCATCCCTACCCTCTGTTATGATCCCCCTCCCTTCCTATTACTTCTCCAAATACCATCTTCCTAGTCCCTCACCCACTCTTCACGTCTCCTCATCTCCCTGCCTTCCCTACTACCCTATATTCCTAATGCCCCAGCAAGGACTTCATCCCCACCCTCTCTTCTCTTGCTCTACCCTTCTCTACTATCCCCTCTTCACCTTCTTCTGTGTCCCCACCCATTCATCAAGCCCCACACCTCTCCCTTCCCTACTGCCCCTCCGTTCTAGTCTCCCACTCTCTACTCTCCTTTCCTTCCCTTTGCTATTACCCCTCACCTTCCAAGCTCCCCACCCCCCTCTCTATCCCTCACCCTTCTCTCTTCCCCCTCCCTTCTCTACCACCCCTCCTTTACTCCTCCTCCTTTCTTCCTAGTCACTTCTTCACTGATCCCTACATTCTCCCCTCTCATCCCTCTCTCCTCACTCAGGGACTCTTCATCCCCTCACCCCCTCTTCTCACCCCACCCTTCACTACTGACCCCTCTTCATCTTCTTCTGAGTCTTCCACCTACTCTTCATGCCCCACTCTCTGCTCTTGCCTCTCCCTGCCCTACTGCTCCTCCTTTCTAGTCTCCCAGCCTTGCCTCTCCTTCCCTTCACTACTACCCATCTTCCAAGTTCCCCATCCACTCTCCTCTTGTACTCCTCCTTTTCTACTACCCCTTCCCCACCTCTTCTTCCTAGTCCTCCATCCACTCTTTATCCACACCCTCTCTTCTCACACCCTCCCTTCCCTGCAACCCCTCCTCACCTATTCTCCCTAGTCCCCCACCCAGTCATCTCCACCCTCTATTCTCTTTCTTCTCCTCTCCTCCTCCTCCTCCTTCTTAGTCCCCAATTTGCTCATACCCCCACACTCTCTTCCCTCATCCCCCTCCCTTCCTTAGTCCTCCTCCTCATCAGAGGATTGGGGATTTGCAGGGGTGAGGAGGTCATCCCCCAAGTTCTCCCATTCTCCACTCATCCCTTCCCTACTACCCCCCCTCACTTTCTTTGTAGCCCCTACTTGCTCATCCCTCACCCTCCTTTCAATCCTCTCCTTTCCCTACTGCCCTATCCCCACCTCTTCTTCCTATTCCCCCCCACTCACCCCCCACCCTTTTCATCCATCTCCTCTCCTGCTACTCTCCTCTCACTTCCCCAACGACTCTTCATCCCTCGTCTTTCTCATCCCCCTCCCTTACTAACCCCTCCTCACCTCTTCTTCCTAGTCCTCCACCCACACCTTACTCCCAATCCTTCCTACTACCTCTCCCCTCCCCTTCTTTCTAGTCTTTTACTCACTCTTCAGCCCCTCACTCTCATCTCTCATCCCTTCTTCTTATTCCTCACCCCTTTCATCCCTACCCTCTGATCATCTCCCTCCTCTCATATTACCCCGAATCACACTATCTTCCTAGTCTTCCACCCACTCTTAACCCTCATCCCCCTCCCTTCCTTAATACCCTATTCATCCCTTCTTCCTAGTCTCCACCCACTCTTCACCCTCACTCCACCCTCCTACCTCTCCCCTCCTCTTTCTAGTCCCCTATTTACTTTTCACCTCCATTCTCCCTACTTTACTAACTCATCCCTTTTCCCTGGTCTCCCACCCCTTTCATCCTTAATCTCCTCTAATCCCATCCCCTGCCCTCCTCTCACCCCCCTCCCTTCCTACCCCTCCTCCTCACACCTTTTTACTAGTCCCCCATCCATTTTTCATCTCCCACCCTTCTATTCTCATCCTTCTCCCGAACATACTACCCCTCTCCACTACTTCCTAGCCCCCTACCCATTCATCACGCTTCTTCTTATCCCTCTCCTTTCCCTACTCTATTAGCCTCTGCTTTTCTCCTTCCTTACTACCCACTCTCTTTATTCCTTCCAAGTCCCCAAGCCCTTCCATGCTCCACCCTCTGCCCTTGATCCTGAGGACGCTGAAATGATAGGGACACAGTATGCACTTAACCACTAAATCTTTATTGAAATTTTTTGTAATACATCAATGCAGTATTAGTAGATACAGAGAAATATAGTAAAGAGTAATACAATTTTCAGGAGGGGTAGGGTAGGGTAGGGTAGGGTAGGGAGGTAGGGATAGGGAGGGGGTGAGGTAGGGTTAGAGATGGGTTCTGACAGGGCTTTTATTTATCACTTTTTTTTAATGACCACACATTTTTTCACAATCTGATCCTAGGAGTTAATACCTAGGGCCTTTATTAAATTCTCAATCCAATCACCTTTGAACTTTCACTAGAGTTTTAGATCTCCCTGTAGTTCCCTCTGAGTTTGAGGTGTGTAAAGGGAAGGGAAGGGAAAGGGTAGAGGATACAGTAAGTAAACGCGTCCACTTATAGAGATATCTAATACATAATATTGTCCTAACTTCCTAAGTAATCCCACCCACTTAAGATTGATTAATAGTCCCTCCCAGCCTAAATGCTTATGATTACATATATCCCCGATTACTTAAAACTTAAGAGAGAAAGAAAGAAAAACAATGCAATGTTCCACAGACCAATTCAATACTGTTCTGCAATCTCAAGCAACAAAGAACTTTCAGTCCCATTAGGTGTGTGTTCTCACTCTAGATGAAAACACGGAATGGTTCCCTCGAGTCTCTTCTTCCACAGGTGGTCCTTCTTTACCGCTCTGGCCTTTCCAGTAGGGTCTTCTCTGTTGCCAATCCTCGAACTGTACTGAGGTAAGATGTCTGTGGTGGATGACAGTCAGGTCAACTCAGGAGTCCAAGAGATACCTGCAAAACTTAAAACAAACTTCCAGACTGCACTAGAAAGAGGAGCCCCTCTTATTTTTGTGCACTTCCAAGTTCACTGTACTGCTTTACAAGATTTTATCAAATTAGTAAAACAGATACCTCTGTGCTCAAACTAAACTGACCCTTCATAAATGTATGTCAACTTTCTTCACTTCAATATCCTAGCATGATGACCTCCACTAATTTCTTTTCAGGCTTGACTAGCAATGGGAGCTCTTAGACAATTTTCCTTATTGATTTAATTATTTTTTTCCAATGGTCAATTAATTAATTTTGTCATTTTGTGTTTTGCTCCACTTCTAACTTCTTCCTTTATTATGAAGGCATTTTTGTTAGAAATGCCAAAAAAGATTTAACAGAAACAAATCAGATGAGAGAAAGGAAACTTAATCAAATTTCAGTACTATAGAGTAAGTTTACTTATCTTAACAGCTAACTTATCTTACCTAAGAGCTAACAACTAAAGATAGAATACAGAGTAATAGAACATGGTACACACTGCCGAAAAGTTAAATGACAAGCTTTAATAAACAGTCCAAAGAGTGTCAGGGATGTTGTCCTGACTTCCAACGATGGCCAAATTCTCCAGACTTTTGCTTGTAGTGGTGGCAAATGTCCGTGTGTACATGTCAGGGCTGCAGATAATGTCCCATTTCTGAGCATTCTGCAGCTTGAAGATCAATTAAAATTTGAGTTCAAATGTATGAAGAATGGAATTGAGGTTGAGGTAAACTGGAGTGACACTTCACAATAGTCCAGAAGCACAAATGCACCATTTAAAAAGTAACTAACACACACGAGTGATTGACAAGCTTTCTGATTCCATTGAGGAAAACAAGATAAAGTTGTTCTCAACTGAACAGCCAATTAGGTTTGTTCTCTTCGTGTGAGTTTTAAAGGCCCAATTGATAGAACTGAGAGTAATATTAAAGTTGAAGTCTGTACTTCAGAGACTTTCATTCACAGTATAGTAAGTTCACAGAAATATGCTATGTTACTTAATTTTACTAGAAGAATTAGATAGTTCTTTATTCATCAGTGGAAACTTGAAAGCATAGTCATCACTTAAAAATACCTAAAAGATACTACTATAGCTAAAACTTAAGTAAACATGCAAGGGTAAAGGGGTTGGGGGGCTGATAATGAAGGTATTAAAGGTGATGTTGATGGAAAAGGAAACTTCACCATTAAGACTCCATGACATGTATTCTGAAATATAAACCATGTTGCTTCCTACTGCTCAAACTGTATGTTGGCAACTGGAGACCATGTGGGCTGAAACACATGCTCCTTCAAGCCTGCTCTTCCAATCTCCATGCATGGCAGCAAAATGGAGTCTCAGCAACCAGGCAGGAAGGTGGCAAATCCTGCAGCAGGGTTAAGTGGCAGTAGTAAAACAGAAAGAGAGAGGTTAGACAAATGGTTCAAGGTAGTAGCAAGGGACCAGGCTAAAAGAAGTCAGGCAGCCCCAGGTTAGCACAAAGGTGAGGCCTGTCATCCATTGGCAGCTTCAGGTCGGACTCTGATCTTTTACAAGTCCATAGCCTCAAGACAGTGCCCAGTACTACTCTAATTCCTCCTCTTCCAAGAGTGTGGTCTGGGTGCTAAATCATTTCCCCTCTCAAGCATCCTCCTGGTACAGACCAATGAGGGGATGATGGGATGCCCAGGTGCATATGGAGGCAGACACATGGCCGCTCATGAAAACACCCTCTGAAGTACCAGCAGGAGTTGGTACCAATGACCTCTGAGCCTCTCAAGTGTTGGGTACACAATTCAGGTGTCCTTTTGCTACTCTTTAGCCCTCACAGATGATGAGAGGTGTTGCCATTACTGGCATGGTGATGGTAAGATGTTGTCAAAGCCAGAGTTCTTGGGTACATGTGATTTGCACCGGGATGTGAAGGCACACTCTTAACACACAAGAGTCAGTCTGAGAGAGCACTTCCTTTGTCAGGCTTGAGGTGTTACAATTAGCAGGGGGTTTTGCCTGCTCCTGGGAGAACCGGTCGAGTTGCTGCTCCTTGTATATTAACGGAACCATGAAAGTGGAGTTTGACGATGGTGAAGTTTCCAAGGGGTGCAGCAAGAGGATCACGGAAGCCGTCCCACACTGCACCAATAACTGTGGCTTCCTCATAAGGCGTCGGTCCTCCCCTGATGTAAAGAGAGTGCCGAAACTCCAAGAAAGGTCATGTCCTCCCCATTTTACTTCCCCCTCCATAAAGAAATCAACATTTCCTGCCTTAGCATCAGCTCCTTCCACAGGCTGAGGTGACAGTCCAGCGGTGTGATTGAGAAGCTGCACAGGAATAAACTTCTGAGGGCGGAGTTCCTGGAGGACATGACAGGTGTTTACATGGTGTAGGACGATGAAGGTGGTGGCGGGGGTGGCGGTGGCGGCGGCGGCGGCGGCTGCGGCGGCGGATACTGGGGTACCGGAGGCTGGCGGTACCAGTGTGGATTCCAGGTGACCATCACAGGTACGTAGAGAGATCTTCCATGCCCATCTCGCCCCACGGGGTACCACGCGAATCCTACGGGGTAGGTCGGGTACGCGTAGGTGGGGTACGAGTGGTACCCATGTACTTGAGGAACGTATTCAGTGTAAGTGGCCAGGTGCGCTTGGTCTTCTAGGTTTGGAATAGACAGGCGAGGGTACTGATGTTGGATGGTGACGTGGTTCGGAGCCCGGCAATTGTAAGTGACTTGCAGCTTCCAGCCCCTCTTCACCTGGAGAACTTGTGCTCCGTTGGGTGCGATGGTGGGGGTGATGAGCCCATCCTTCACATTTCTCGCCACGAAATCTCGGAGAGCAGCCATTTCCGGTTCAGACAGGGAGTACACATGTCCACTGGGGATGCTGTGTGCTCCAGGGATCATTTCTATGTGAGGATCGACCAGCCGGTGATCCGGGTAGTGGTGGTGATCCACTGGGGTGTACACATTCTGGACATAGTAATACCTCACTGGGTGGTAAACTCTGTACCCGCCTTCTACTGGGAAGTAAAGGGTCGGGTGCGGCCCCGGTGGTGGTGGGAGCGGTGGAGGTATGGCCGAGTACATCCGGCAGTGGTAGCGGCAGTAATCGGAGTCGAAGACGATTGATCGGGTGCTCCAGGTGATGTTGGGGTCATGGATGGTCAGCCAGCGAACCCCCAGGACGACCGGAAAGAACGGAGACTGAGTCACATCGAATGACAGCACCTCTCGGTGATCACCCAGGTCGACGAACAGGTGGTGAGTTTCGTGGACAATGGGGCCGGATGCCACGGGGCGCCCGTCGATTGCTTCCACGAGAATTGGCCAGTCCTTGACTCTTACAGGAATTGCATTCTGTATGACGTATTCTTGATCAATGAAGTTGCCAGAGGCACCAGAATCGATCATGGCTCGGACGAACAGGGTGTGTCTGCCCGGGAGATGGATCTGGAGCATCACTTGCAGGTGTGGCGCAGAGACAGCATCATCTTGTGGGGACCTTATTAATTCTGGCCCGGTCGCTGAAGGTCCCTCTACAGCGGGGCCGGGGAGTTTCCCGCCGGCGAATTCTTGGAGGCCTTGGCAGGACAGTTGTCGGCGTAGTGCCCTCCGTTGCCGCAGTAGAGGCAGAGGTTCAGCTTTCGGCGTCTCTCCTTCTCTTCCTGGGTCAGGCGCATGCGGGCACCTCCCACCGGCTCGGTCGGATCCACCTGGTGACCTGCGTTGGGCAACACCAGCGCCCGGGGTGGGGAGCGCGGCTTGCGAGCAGCAGCAGCCCGGGCCAGCCTTCTCTCGATGTGGATGCACTGGCCGATCAGCGCAGACAGGGTCTTGGGGGCTTCGATGTGGGACAGCTCCTCCTGAATCTGGTCACTGAGGCCTTCGTGGTACTGGTCAATCAGGGCAGGCTCGTTCCAATCCAGGTCCTGGGCGATCATCTGGAAGGCGTTGGAATAATCGACGACGGACCCCAGGCCCTGGCGCAGGCGTCTGATCTTGCGTTTGGCAGCCTCCCGCCTCTGAGGGTCTTCGAAGACGTGCTTCATTTCCATCATGAAGGCCGGGTAGTTGTGCATCAGGTAATTGGATCGCTCCAGCTTGGCAGAGGCCCAGCGGGCAGCACGGCCGGTCATCATGCTTGTCACGAAGCAGACACGGACGCGGTCAAGTGAGAAGTCGCGGGTGCTCTTCTCCATGAAGACCTGGCACTGGGACATGAAGGGAGCCAGCATGTCAGGGTTGCCATCGAACTTCTCTGGCAGGTCTTCGGGGCACTCTTCCTCGATGGGGGTGGTGGGCACGGCAGCCGCCGCGGCACCCTGCAGCTCAATGTCGTCTTCGTCATCCTCGGGGACAGGCTCCACCTCCACCTGCTCACGGAGGGTGCTGTTCTCCTCGGTCAGCTTCTGCACCTGGCTCTGCAGATTGTTGTTCTCCTCGGACTGCCTGATGACCTTCTCTCTCAGGTTGTTGATCTCTTCAGACAGCTCGTCCCGCCTGCGCTCGGTCATGTTGGGGACGCAGGGGCTCTTGTTGCCTTTGTTGTTGTTGTTGTTGTTGGGGGGAGGGGGCGGGGGGAGGGGGAGGGCAGTCGGCTGACCCTCCAGCAGCTCCAGCAGCTCCTCCGGGACCCATGGCAACTATGGGGATGGGAGGGGACCTCCCGGGTGTGGCTTCACACCTGTGGGGATGGAGGCCTGGATCCTGGCCTCTTGCTCCCCTTCTTCGCGGCTGCTTTGTTTTCAAAACCCGCTTGTTTCTGTAAATGAAGATAAAATTATATATTCAACATACACATTCATAGCAGCACCACATACACAAAGATTTAACAATTTAAAACTACCCTCTTACTCGAGAGGCTCATATTAATTAGTGGCCAAACAAAACACACCCTCAAAACTGAAAAAGAACCGAGCTGTCAATCAATTCCAACAACAGTGAAAAGCATACCACTCTGATTGTCCAAACGACCCTGCCCCCCTCAAAAGCCACCTGCTCATTATGATTCAACATTACAGAAACTTTATCATCAGCATCCTTACATTTTTAAACAATAACTTTGTATGGCAGGAAGACAGCAAGAAACTTTCAAAGCAAAGATGAATACCAAATAATTATGCAAAACAATAACCTTAATTATAAGAGAAGCTAGGCAAAAAAAAAAAAACAACCAACAACAACCCAGCTAATATTCCAACCAATGAGAAAAACCACAAAAAAAGGAGGGGGCATTAAAATCACTTTGTATTCAAGTCTGAAAAAGTGGGGTTAACTGTCCCACACTCAAGTCCATCTCTACAGAGAAAGTCACTAATTATCTAACCAAACACAACTACCACCATCACAAAAACCACAAGACTGTCTAATTACATTTCTGATCATAATTCAACTTCCACAAGAGAATTCTCTGTGCAACAGAAATGGCACTGAACAACGGCAGGTGTCTATTTCTCTCTTCATTATATAATCATTCAACGAATTCTAATTAATACCTCCTTGGAAGAAATGAACTATTAAATGGGGTATTCAAGATGCCCAGTAATAGTATACCCTCAAACATATTGTGATTTAATTAATGTAGACAAAGCAGGGAATATCCAATGGTTGTTAACTGATACTAATAAAAGCTATTAATTAGATAAGAGAAATGTAACTTTTTATATAAACGGGGGGTGGGGGCGGGGTGCAAATATAGCAACTTGGGCATCTAAATATATTCAGTGTGTTTGTTTTTTAATATTGTATTAGTAAAAAAAAAAAAAATCCAGGGCTTTATTTGTTCTGCAGGTAAGCAGTCTGTAATAAACTCTGTCAACAGAGCCCCACCCAAAGGTGTATAATGCTAAAATGGGATAGGTGCATTCCTGGGGGGGGGGGGCATAGTGAGTGGATGTGTGTATGTGTGTGTGTGAAGGTGGAGTGAGGGGAGGGATTAAATGTGTATGATGACAACACATCATACACACAAATGATAACACAGGATCTGTGTCATTTCTGAAAGTAGCATTAAATGAATTTATTTAATTATTAAATTAAATTAATTATTTTATATTTTCAGTTATCTCAAATCCCAAATCTGGAAAACATTAACACATAAAAGTGTTTACATGGTTAATATGTTAAGTTAAATGAGTTTTGAAAACTTTTTATTAAAAGTCTATCTTTGTAAAAGTTTGACAAACGTGTTTCAGAAGTTTAAAACTTAACTTTTAAAAGTTCTAAGTATATTAAAGTTCTAAAACTTTGGAAAGTTTTGAACTCAATCTAAACAAAAGTTTTGTTAAACCATGTTGTATAAACTTTAAAAAGTTTAAAACTTTGTAGTTTGTAAATCTGAAAACTTTTAAAGTTTTAAAACAAACTTTCTTCTCTGTGATCTATCAAGGCAAAACGCGCCATAATTACATTATGTAAAGCTCAAATGGTAAACATTTGTTAATTAGAGAAGTTAGGTGGAAAATAACTAATATTTAGGACCCTCCCCTGGCCTAACTCTCCACCAGTAGCCATATTCCCTTTGTCCAGTGTAGTTGGTGAGGCCTCTCAAAGGAGTGGCTATTTGTCCTTAAAGGACAGGAATTAGTGTGCTACTTTAATAGTTTTAACCATGCTTCTTAATTACCTATATTCCAGGCTATATTAAAAAAAAAGAAACATCAATTTATTGACATTCGAGCTTAGAAAACAAACAAGACACAACAAACAAATCCTAACCTGTCACATTTATCTTCCTTTATAAAGTCATTAGCATAATGTGATTATTACATATTAAATTAAGAGATTCAATGTCCCATTTAAAAAGTCTAGTAACCACAGGTAACTAAGGTACCACTGTGTCTTCTACAAAGTAGCCCTTTGGAAAAAGACTTGAGACTTCCCAAAGAGCATTGCCAGTAAGGCTAGTGTGCAGTGTGACCCAGGTCAGGGAGGTCAACAACCTATGTGCCAATCACAGACACAGGGTGGACATTATTGAAGCTTAGATAAGGTGGTTTTCACACCTATAAGAAAAAATAAAGAGATAGAAATTACATTAGCAAATCAGTAAGCAATCAAATTTTATTTAGGAAAACAAAATTTAAAAGTGAAAAGGGCCTGGATTAAGTTAGTAAGGAGGGGCTATAATTTATGTAACTTGGGGATACATGCCCCTCCCCTCACTTCTTTTAAAAAAAACTTTTTAATACAGTACTAATTAAGGCCTCAGTTTAAGGGCTCAATCTCCCACCTGGAGGTTTGCAATTTATGGGTGGGGCTGTACCTCAAAGCAAAGTTAATTTGAGGTAAGGAGCATTTTGACTTTATTTGACTTATAAAACATTGGCTCCTTAAATTCGCCCTTAGTGGGGACTAGATAGTAGAGGTGAGAGGTGGAGGGGGTCAAGGTGCCATTCCTGAAACTGAGAGGTCACACTGCATAAAGCCTAGCTGCCTGGGACAAATGTCATTATGACATCTAAAAAGTTTTAAAATCTCAAACATAGAAAAAAAAAAAAAAGAGGCCCAAAACACCATGTATAAATGTACCAAAAGGAAATGGGACATAAATGCTAGTGTTGTAAACTTTCAAATATTGTCCAAAGATTTTGAGTACTGCATTATTTGTGAAATGCAAATTAGTATGTGCATGCTTTATCAATGTTTTAGGCCTCTTAAATATGCATATATAAAATTCCCAAAATAGGAAACAGACTTAAAGCTGTAATTACAATCATAGAATATCCAAAGGAAAAATAATTTGAGGGAGGGGAATTAGTAGAGTGACTGATTTGTGGGAGGCAAAGCCTTCTTCCCCCCCACCCCCTTAATAAAATCCTGGCTCATAGTTTGTAAATATGGAACCAGGTTTTTAAATTTCTTCAGTTAGAAGCCTTTTTACATGGTTCATCTGTATATTATACAGATGTTTAATTATGACAGCTGAAAATTCAATCTTTATTTTGTAATGTAACTAGTTTATGTTACATCACACAAATTTTAAATGCCAATATGTAGCATTAATAACCCATTTGCCTAAAACTTAAATAATTAGCTTTTTATGAAAAAAGCTAATTACATGGGATAACAAATAATTAGCTTTTTATGAAAAAAGCTAATTACTTGGGATAGCAAATAATTAGCTTTTTATGAAAAAAGCTAATTACTTGGGATAGCAAATAATTAGCTTTTTATGAAAAAAGCTAATTACTTGGGATAATTTAAATTAATTTAATTTTATATTATAATTACAGCTCACATAATTGCAGTTCAAAAACATATACTTTTTTTTTCTTTTTTAGAACAAACCAAAAACTTTAGAAGACACTGTTAGGTGTGAGGAAGTTAAGACAACAGTACAACCCAGGACAGCAAAGTGCCAAAGGACCCAGGACTCAGAAATCAGAAACTTCAGACCTGGGCAACACAATAATAAACCAATTTATTCTGGTCACTTAACAAGTAATTAATGAATGCCTACATGTGCCAAGTGCACATTATTATATGTAGGCGGGACTAATCCTCTAGAGTCCAATAGAAAAACAACTCCCTGATTCCTATACACAGAAACGCCTCAATCTCCTTCCAGTCCAAGCCAGCCAGCAGTGCCAACCAGTCACTTAAACTCTCTCAAAGTTCAACTTGCTCTTGTTTTGTATTCACCAAAGCATCCAATTCCAGTAGGTCCACGAGTGTCTCCAAGGAAAAAAAGTTTAAATGTGAAAATACTCCTTTAATTCTGCTTTGTTATTTGAAATAAAAGCGCTGGCTGAATTGCCTTGAGGCACCAGCCAGGTAAACTTAGACGTTCCCATCATAATCCACTATCAGTAGTATTAAATTGTAGGATTATGTTGTATAATATTAAAGGCACTTGTTGAAAGTGATTATGAATGCAAGATATAATTGTTGTTAATTGATCTCACTCTTAGATTTATTAGACACCAGTGGACAAAAACCAAAAACCGCGCAGCACAGAAACCGCAGGGGGGCGGGGCTGTACAGCCAGGCTCAGACAAGTAAGGTACGCAGGCGCAAAGGCAAGAGACCAGAAGGGAGGGATGGGGGGGGGGGGAGTAATGGGAGCTCACACTGCGCAGGCGCAGGAGCTTTGAGGAGGGCGGGGCTGTAGGCCTCAAAGGAGGCTGGCTGAGGGAGGCGGGGTATGAGGGGAGGGCCACCTCAGAGGAAGCAGGCCGAGGGGGGCGGGATCTGAGCAGGCTACGTCACCAAAGGCGGGCTGAGGGAGGCGGGGTGCAGGCCGGCCACCTCAAGAAGAGGGGGGCCAGGGGAGGCGGGACCTGGGGGAGCCACGTCAGAGAAGGCGGGCTCGGGGAGGCAGGGTCTGGGCAGAACACCCCAAAGGGGGCAGGCGTGGAGGCGGGGCTGGGCTAAGCGGGCTCTGAGAGCCAGCCTGGGGAGGCGGGGCTGCGGGAGGCGCGCTCCGGGAAGGCGCGCGGCAGCGGAGGCGCGCTCCTGGGGAGGCGCGCTGCGAGGAGGCGCGGAGGGGAGGGGGCGAAGCGCGCTCTGAGCCCGAGACTGCAGAGAA